CGCCGACTACAGCGGAAGGTCGCATAGCCGCCGCGGCCATTGCCATGTTGGCCAGCAAGCTGTTGAAGTGCTGCTGCTGCTGTTGCTGTTGTTGCTGTTGGTGATGGTGTTGRTATCCCTGACCACCGATGCCGCCGCGGAGGTGCTGGTGATAAGCGGCGGCGTAGGGATGGTGATGGTGGAGATGGTGCGGAGACGGCACAGCTGGCGGCGCGACCACTGGTGCCGGATGGTAGAGCGTCGGCTGGAGCGGAATCGTTGGTGGCGGCGAGTTGTTGTTAGGAGCAGGCGGGGTGGTCGAGGCGCTATCATTTCCTGGTGGCGATCTCTGCTGCTGCAGCTGAGTCGGATAACCGCGGAAGTTAGCTGCCGCCGCTGCGACCGCAGCTGCGGCTGCGGCTGCGGCGGCCCCGTTGCTGCGTTGGTGCTGTTGCTGTTGCTGCAGTTGCAGTTCCATTGCGGCCGCGGCGACGGTCGACAGGGCTTGCGACGTCGGCGGTAGTGGCGGCGATCTGCCCGTGCCACCGTTGCCCGGATGATGGTGCTGGTGGTGGTGGCCGCGTAATGCAGCGGCCATAGCAGCCGCGGCTTGTAACTGCTGCTGGTGATGGTGATGGTGGCCGGCGTGCAGTAGATGGTGACTACCGAGACCAATGTTACCCATTCCCAATGGACCACCGCCACCCAATCCCATACCGCTCGTCATCATGAACGGTGGGTTKGCCGGAAGCGGGCTCAACGCGGCCCCAGACGGGCTGTGGCGGCCGGCAGACATGGAACTCGGCACGCCCAAATACGGATTGCCACCGCCGCCACTGTACGGGTGAGCCTGTGGACCGACTTTCTCCTGTTTGCGCCATTTCGCCCGTCGGTTTTGGAACCATACCTGAAACACGACATTGAAAATATTTTAGAAAACCGTGGAAATTTATGAATATTTAACAACAGCCTATATACGATATATTTGCCTGATATCAAACAAACAGTTTTATATTTACTTAGATGTATATATATATTATGAATACACTATGACAATTAACAGTTATAATATAATCGTTAATAAATTTATTGAAAATATTATTAGGGTTCTATATTATACAATCCAAAATTCTAACGAGTATATATAAGTATATTCAAGTATATAAGTTGCCTTATATAAAATTCTATAAATACTGAGGAATTGAGGATAATAATAGGAGTGTAATAGTTTGAAAAATATAAATTGTAGGTAATTAATAATAATTTAGGTAAATACCGACTGTAATTTTACAAATTGTGAAAACAAAAATAAATGTACATCAATATTAATAAATTTATCGTAYATTCACATCTATTTAAAATTTTCTTATTTCTATTATCATTTAGTTTTAATAGGTATATACGGCATACCTGTACATTAAGTTTGATAACTCTAAAATTACTTTTCAAAATATGATTTAGATGCCTAAACATTAAAAAAAATCTTTCAATTGAAAATTCTCAGGAAAAAGATGACGATTATCAATTGAAAAATAAATTAGTATGACAAATCTATAAGTATATGCCTACCTATTTTCTATACCTATGTAATAGAAAACATAAAACTTAAACATTGTGCAGGTGGAGGTGGCAGGTCTATATATATACTTAAAAATTCCAAAACMATATCAATATTAATACATTATTTAGGGATAAAACTATAAAATAGGAGGCGATTTTTGTTAAGTCCTGTATAATATATAGGCACGTATAGTTAAAATATATCCATATATCAAACTTCGGCCTGCAAGGGAAATGAACGTTTAGCTATTATTATAATACACAATTCGATTTTTACATAATACTATTTGTAATTTTGGATATAGAAATATGTAATACGCAGTTAACGGGGTGTATTTAAGGGAGGAACGCATAAGCCACAAGTGTCTTGAATCCCCCCCCCGTCATATTTCTTGTGATCGCATGTGTTATTATAATCAAACATTAGGTGATTGTTGATGTATAGTTTAATCTTTTTCATTATAATAAAATTATACATCAGATCTTTTTATTTACAGTGATGAACTTTGCAATTCTCTAGCTTAGTACAATATTATGACGTATGTAACAATAATTATAAATTATATTTTCTTAGTCTCCCCCTTCACCTTTCCATAAAATATTTCTGAATTCGACCCCATAAACCACATYAGTATAATACGAATTAAAAGTTGTATGTGTACGACGAACCTATATTATCTATATATTATGAATTATACATTTCTACCTAAAAGAATCGCACGCACACAACTCAAACACACGGGCTCCTCCGTTTTCTCGTTCTAACAGTCTAACCCACCCACAAAATACACAATAGATAAAATTTTGTGTTGTTATACCTTTAATCCAATAGTGCGGAGGATATTATAAATTGGCAATATATTATAGTATTGTTTGGAGTGTGACTATCAAACTTAAATGTACTTAAGAATATTATAGAATATTATATCTTTATATAGGCCACAGTGTACATTTATGGCTTATATTGATATCTTGTATAATTTCAAAGAAATCCGTTATGGGCACTTTAAGACTGTAATATTTTATATATAGGTACTTGGTTAGATCCTTATAATAGTGGTAACTGTTGAATTAAAAMATCAATAAAAATCTATTTGGGGCCCTATAGGCAATATMATATCGTCGCCGTTAAGTTATTGTAAGTAATAGTTCGATTAGCTATTGTATCATTTGTGTCAAAGCTATGACAACAACAAAAAATTGTATCCGTCGAAAGCGAATCCGTCGCGTGTTTAAGCGCAAGGGTCTGCAGAGATAGAGAGAGAACAATGCCGGTGCACTGACATCCACTGTACATCTATATGTACGCAATAATACGCATACACAATGTACAGATTATAATACAATATCGCGAATTTGTATTGTCGTCGACGCGTTGCTAATTAAACCAACGCGTGGAAATCTCACGCTCATTAACGACGCGAGACTTAATGATAACATAATAATATAAAATTTATAACCACATAATAATATATCATGGACGCATATTACAATGCACGGTACAGAAAATCGTCGCATCATTGTATAACACGCATTATATTATAATATAATGGTGCCTACAAGCAGCAGCAGCAGCAGAAGCAGCAGCAATACGGCGGCAATATATACGCACCACGTCCAATCTAATCTAATCTAATATAGGTACGCGTAAGGTTAGTATTGATGTGCATAGTACCTACTTGTATACGCATGTATTGTATTGTCCGGGTGATGGAGAAAAAAATGTGCGAGTATACCTACACCACTCATGCACACACAGGAGTTCGATCGGCTATATACAACACACACGTACCTATGCATATATATATATAT